TGTGTGTGTGTGTGTGTGTGTGTGTGTGTGTGTGTGTGTGTGTGTGTTCCAGTACAGTATGTGAAAGTATGCAAGGTGCATGTGCTGTGTGTGCAGTATGATTAGGCATGCTGCATGGCAGCACTGTAGCGAATTTCTTATTCTCTTTTTAAAGGATGGACCATGGCACGCATTTTTATCAGCTTTGTTCTGTGATGCACTCATTAAAAGAGCACAATAGTGCATGTGTGTGTGTGTGTCTGCGTGTGTGTATGTGCGGTCTCCAGATGCAGCTCAGTCTGGTCGGGACTTGAGGGACAAAACGTCTCATCAGTCACAGCGGCACCGTCACCTCTACTGGGTCTCACACATACAAACATAGTGATAAATAGGTTTGAAAAGACAAACAACAACAAAACAATCATGCTGATGCACATGAATATCAAACACAATCTCACACAAAACATTCATGTTACCAAGAAGTGTCCCTGGGAGCATTCTGTTGAAGGAAGCAGAGGTGTGTGTGTGTGTGGGGGGGGGCTCAGCTGGTCATCACTGCTGTGAGGAGTTGTTGGATTTGGCAGCAGCAGGGACAGGCGCACACACACACGCACAAACATTAACAAACAGATCACAGACATGCTCAAGATTATCTGAGAACATCAAGTCCCGTTCTTTCTAAAATGATCCCTCCTGCTATATAACCCAGTCGCCACCTCATCTCTCTCTCTCTCTCCCTCTCTCTCTCTCTCTCTCTCTCTCTCTCTCCCTCTCTCTCTCTCTCTCTCTCTCTCTCTCTCTCTGTGGGCTGAAGGGCTGATTTGTGTCATTCCTTGGAGTAATCACACAGGAGTGACACGGGCGCTCATTGACATGCAATGAGACAATCCCACCTCGGCCACAAATATATCTGTGTGCCCTGCATCCAAACAGCATCATCTGCCAGCACTCTCCGAGTGCACATGCACGGTCACAAACATGCGCGCACAAAACGTGAATTCACAAAATGATACTTGTTCATAAAAGCTCTGTGACCTTATCTGTCACATCGGGAAACATGTGTATGCTCTGCATCAAAAATAAAATGGTGAGACACTTTCTGCATGACGGGGGACGTTACGACTCTGCTGTTTGTCAGATTACATCATTTGTCAGGACAGTACAGGAAGTTCAGTTCAATAGGACTGAGTTTCTGCGAAGAATGGAAACAGCAATATTACTTGATAACCTCTGTGCCACCTGTTTAGCGTGTAGCAGCGTCCGTCTTCGGGCTTTTGTTAATATCCCTGGTTTATCTTTCTTAAATCGATACCTTATCTCTAATTGGAATAATTGCATTTCCTTAAGTGCTGTTTATCAGACTTTGTTATTGAAATAAACAACAGGAATGATGAATGTATTATGTTTCAGATTGTGTGACAAGATGGTCTCGTCATCAATCTATGATTGATTTAGCCTCACTAGCCGCCTCAGGATGATGATGTTGGTCATTGGGTCGATCCATTTAACACTTTGGGCCAGAGCAAGGTTTCTCAACTACTACTCGCCAAATCAACATATGTCTTAGGGTCAACGAGGACTTTGGTGACCTTTGATATTTTGTCTACTCGAGGTTGAAAAGAAAAAAAGGAAGACTACTGCCTGAAAATGTATGAAACTTTGGGTGATACTGTACCCGACAAAAAACGTTTTGGTGACTCTCTGAGCTTTCTCATTGTCTCACATTAGGATCAACTTTTTTACATTTATAATGACTCTGTTGTCCTCGTCCTCTTGTGCCTCATTATTATACTGTCTGACACTGTGGGATGTAATCGACACCGTAGTGCTTTAGTCTTGGTTATTTATTTAGTCTCTCTCACACTCTCATTTTGTGAATGAGCTTTCAAGTACTGATATATTGGCTGGTTTATTCAATGAACCAATGGGGGCCTTTCATTAAATATCGGACATGTAACACATACTGCCTGCTGGGTGTTCTGAAAACCGGCAATTTAATTTCCTTTGTAAATTGAATGTATTTTTAGCAATTCAGTTCAGTAATGCTTTACATTACCTGAAATGTATTCTACTACCACAAGATAGATAACAGCAGTTAGAGATCACACAAGCATCACATCAGTATCTCAGTCTGCGGATTTTTCTGTGCCCGGACAGGCAAAAAACATATCAGTGTAAAACAAAGTGCATCTCCCTAAGGCGGAGAGATATTGAAAATGAAACGGGCGAAAGCACAAAGCCCCATGGAATCTTACATGAAGCGTTTCAGATTTCTGCCGATATGCTGAGTATTAACATTCAGTTAGGGACATGTAATGTTCTGCTGCTATATAATTGTCTGCCTCCGACTTTCAACCAGTACAGCATGCTTCACCTCGCCTTTCCCTCTGAGTCGCTGGGCAGATAAACGGGTGTGTGCCCACACGCAAAACACTCTCACATACAGAGGCACAGAAAAACTTGAATTAACACACCAGTATGTATTCAGAAGCCAGAGCCCCATTTCTCTGTACCCTTACGTTTAACCACCACAACCCGCTATTTTCCTGGTACTTGTTTAGTTCTCCTTATGTCTCTCGCTATGGCCCTCTAGCATCCATGCCTCCGTACATGCGGGTGTGTGTCTCTCTCTCTCCCCCTCTATTTCTCCCTTCTATTCTCTTTATCAGTGTGCAGATGAGAGTGTCTGCTTTTTCCTCTCACACGGTTTTCTGAAGGACACCAGGTCAATAACCCCCAACTGTAATTTCTAATCATCCAACATTGTTTTCTTCTTCACGCATCACCAGGCATGTTTGTGTGTGACAAGTGAAGTAGAAATCTTGGACATGTTGTGAGTCAGACACATGAAAGACACAACTAACCACAGTTATACATCAACGTGGAAGTAGAACAAATTAGTTGGGAAATGTAAAACATGTATTCTGATACACACTGTATATATTTAAATAGTACATAAAGAGATTATACTAATACTTCTCACCACTCATGTATTAATAATACGTCTAACACACGACAATATTTTGCATTATCATAGTTTTTGTTTCTGACAGACGTGCCACACATATGCACTTTAAAACTAGCATGAACAAATATTTAGGTTTGCCATCTTTATTATATGTAATTTTTTTTTAGATAGGAAAAGGTCAGAAGTCATCGGAGGGACACATAATAACATTGCACCTGCTTATTGCCATCCATCCGTACTGACCCCCCCCCCGTATTGTTTCCTCCAATAAACCAACAAGCAATAAAGTGGAGGATCCTCTGTTTGGTGAAATGGTCAGGTGGGGAGACAGAGAGGAGAGAAAGTTGTGAGTGAAAGTCGGAATTCAGGGCCATTACCTGAGTCTGGTATTGACTGCAGAGTTCAGAGAACGGCCTTGGCACTAAGGTACCATTACAGCTCAATTGATCGGCCTGCACTTAAATCCAAATCCCACCTTGTTGCACAAGCCGTCCGATGAGGATCCGGTGACCACGGAATATATGCGTGTTTGTGTGCGTGTTTGCAAAAGTGCTCAGAAGATGTTGTTGTTTTTCAGAG